GCTGAGCAGGCCTCTTGGGGAGACAGGGTCCACCTACACAAAGGGCCTGCAAAGTCAGCATGTGGCCCTTTGTCACCAAACAGGCCGGCCCCTCCTTCGTAAACTGCTCCCTGCCTGGAGGACGTCTTGCCGGAGAGCTTCGGTGGAGAAAATGAGAAGATATAGCATTTAATGTTTTGTGTAATGAGGCCTGCAATAGATGACAGCTGAGATCCGGGCCCTCGGGTCCCAGCAAGGTGTTTAAATACTGACAATCCCTAAAAGCCTCACATTCCACTCCGAGTCGCCACTGGCCTGAGTCACAGAGGCAGGGGCAGCTTTCTCAGCTCTTGGGTCTGGCAACCTGCTTGGGTTCTTTTAATGATCTGAAAGGGGAAATCGTTGGCAACCTGCTTTCAAACCTCGGGTAACAAAACGGACACAAAAGCAAGATCTTTAGCTGTCACTGAGAAAGGCAGCATCTTCCAGGTCAGTCTCAGTCATGTCTTGGCCCCATTTGTGGGGTCTGTTTCCACATTCTGACAGTGGCCCTACTGAACATAGACCTCTGACTGACTTCAGAAGGCTTTGGCACAAGGCGTGGGGCCCAGCAAGAAGCTGAGCAACATGCTGATTAGTTCTGATTCACATGGCCTTTTGGTCTTGCTGATGCCTGGAAGCTGGGTGTCCAGCTACCTGGCATCCTGTTTCCTGCCTGACTGGAGGAGAAGTTCGTGGCCCCAGGCAGCCCATGCCTGAGGATCAAGACTTTCCTGTTCTGGGGAAGTGCCAAGATGCAATCACAGGAGGTAAGGCTCAAGGCAGGCAGAGGCGTCTGGCCGGCGGGGCATTCTATCTTTCACAGCTGATATTGCACATGAGGATGCTGGATTCAAAGACTCATTAGTGTGCTTGACTCAACAGGGGATGCTGGGCTGGCTGTTTATTATCTAAACTTGACTTTTTATATTGAGGGCAATGTAAAGTCCCACATAGTAGTAAGGAATAATACAGAGGCATTCGGGTACATTTACCTGCTTTCCCCCAGTGGTAGCATCTGTCCTACAATGTCATAGCCAGGACTTTGACAGTGGACAGCTGAGGCAGAGAACACTTCCTCTGGAGCCCTCTTGGAGCCACGTGACCACTGGGATCAGAGAAATGTAGGCAGAGAGGAGTCCAGGTGGAAGGAAATCACTCGGCGAGCCTCAGCCGTGGCTGTCTAGATCAGGCTTCTTCTCACTCTGCTCCGGGCACCACCAACTCAGCTGGCACTGGGCTGACTCTTAGGGATGTCTTTTCAGAATGGTTTTAGACACTTGAAGTGGGAGTGAAAAGGACATTGACTGGCCTGGTAATGCTTCAGTTACTTAGAGGCAAGGGAAGTTCCTGGTAACCTCTGCCTCCTGCTAGTGCAGACCTGATTGTGGGTTGTTTTTCTCTCTATTACTCATGCAGCTACGTGGTTCTTTGGAAGGGGTGTGGAGAGAGCTGGATTAAGGTGATCTATGACCATTATTTCAAGCCAGCTCAGAGGCCTAGATCCTTCACAATTAATGAGGTTTGGCAGAGTCCACAAACAACCATCATTTCAAAGTCACGACAAGTGTAAACAAAACTGTGAAATATGGACAACAGCTGGAATGTTACATGTATATCCATGATTCCCACAGCTGGCAGAGTCACAAGCTCTGCTGTTACTCAAGAGGCTTCTCACCTGCTACTGTGGGTGACTTATGCCTCCACCCCATCCAATGGGTAAATTCTTACGTGGCAGTCCTAACCGCCCATACCTCAGAATGACCTTATGTGGAAACAGTGACTGCAGATAAATTTAGTTAAGACAAGGTCAAACCAGAGTTCCCTGAGTTCCCGATTCAGTACGGACTAGTGAAGGGGGAATTGAGCTGGACACAGTGCAGTGAGAAGGCCTGGAAAAGGAAGGCAGAGAGCGGGCAGTGCATCTGTGAGCCACGGAACACCAAGGATGGCCAGTAGCCCCCAGAAGTTAGGAGAAAGTCAAGAACAGATTCTTCCTTACAACCACGAGAAGCAATTAACCCTGCTGACACCTTGGTCTTAGACTTCCAGCCTCCAGAGCTGCAAGACAAAATATTTCTATTGATTAAGCTGCCCAGTTTGTGATACTTTGTTATGACCCTAGTACACTAATACCCTTCCATTCATAATAAACAGAAATGCTAACTTTCAGTTAGAGGTTAATAAAAATGCAACTGTGATTTTTTCCCATCCAGATTTATAGAGCTCCTGAATTTTATCTATAAGCCCAGTCCATGAGTCCATTTGTCATTGCTATAGCAAAATACCCAAGGCTGTGTACTTTATAAAAGAAAGAGGTTTACTTAAGCTCATGGTGCTGGAGATCCAGGAGCAGAGTGCTGGCAGCTGCTCGGCTCTGGTGAGGGCCTCCCTGGCTGCAACACAGCATGGTGATGGTATCCTGGGGCGGGGGGCGTGTGCAAGAGGGAGGGGCCCAGGGTGAGGCAGAGGCCAGAGAGCGAGACAGCCGGTCCTGCTCCTCTAGCACAACTCACTCTCAGAGAAGGAACTCATTCCATAGACCCGCACTAGTCCCTCCCAGGCTACACCCCAAGGACCAAGTCCCTCCCACTGGGCTCCAGCTCTTAAGGGCTCCAATCCCTCCCACCATCACCACGCTGGGACCAAGCTTCTAACAAACACCTTGGGCATGCACTTGAGCAATGTCCAGGCCACAGCAGAACCCTTGATGGGACAAAAGAGTCAACAAAGTCATTCTCCCTAAATTTAGGGAGAAACAATGGAATCATCATCTTCCACGCAGGTCCCACCACTGGTTGCTCTATCCTAGCCCAGGCCTCACTAGACCTTTGTCAGAGCCCCATCAGCCTCTGCAAGTGTGTCACATCTAATGTCACTGCTAGATAGCAGGTGGCTGTTCTGTGGCCATCTGCTTTCAGAGATATGGGGGACCCAGTGACCACAGAAGCCAAGACCCTTCACCGGTTTGGGGCCCTCTGTCTCAGAGCTGGCCAAATGCTTTGTTCAGCAGACACCACCAGGGCCCAGGCCAGCAGCCTAGTCATGCTTATTTTTTTTTTTTTTTTCAGCAGTCATAGGGATTGAACCCAGGGCGGTTGCACATGGCAGATGTTACATTTCCAGCCCATTCATTCATTTATATTTTGAGGAGAGGTCGCACTAAATCACTAAGTTGCCCAGGGTGGGCTCAAACTTGGAATTCTCCCGTGTCAACCTCCCAGAGTGCTGGGATTTACAAGCATGTGGCACCACACCTGGCTAAATTCGTGCATTCTTGAGGCAAAGAATTTTTCATGCTGCCTTTCAGGTAGCAAGTTTTTTCAGTCTTACATACCAGGTCCCCCTTACAAGTTTCCAGAAGGCACTTCTCACTTGTAACCTTGTAAATGTGATCTTAGTGGTGGAGAAGGAAGGGACATCTTTGAGCACCTGGACAGATATAACTATAGGGAATGCTATGGCTGTGTCTAGGTGTCCCCTCAAAGCCTCATGCAGTCATAGGTGGGGCTTTTTCAGAGGTGGCTGGATTTAGAGTATGTGAGGCTGGAAATGATTCATGGTGTAATGCTAGTTTCAGGGGAACTAGGATTAAGCGTGTGAATGTTACCGACCCTAAGTAGTCTGGGTAAGATATAAGGCACAGAAAGAGCTATGGCTGTCCCTTGTTGCCTTTGCTTCCTTCTGCTACCATGAACTGTTTCTCCCCTGCGATGCCCTCTGCCATGACACCCTGCCTTGGGGCCAGCCAACTGTGGATGGAAACCTCTACAAGCTGTGAGCTAAAGAAACCTTTCCCCCTTTAACTTTGGTGTCAGATGTTTTCTCTTAGCAATGAGAAAAGTGCCTGAGACACAGATCTTTCTTCTTGGTCTAACAGCCTCTTTACGTATTGGACCCCAACGACTCCTGGGCTGAAGACACCCTGACAGATCAACTAGCTCAGCCTTGGGTTCCTGTTCACAGTGGGACTCTCTGGAGGTCATGAGGCAAGTGCTCAGAACTCTCCACGTGTGGTGATGCCTTCTGCTCCCAGCAGCAACTCCTGCTCGATCGGACAGAAATTCCTTTTTCTATTAATGTCCATCCTTCATTATTAAGGGTGAGAGGAACCCTTTCTTCTACGCCATTGGTGAAAATGAAAATTAACACAGCCTCTATGGAAAACAGTACAGAGATTTCTCAACAAGCTAAAACTACTGCATGACTCAGCAATCAGTCTTGGGTTATATCCAAAGGAAGTTACAATAGCCAAGATACAGAACCAGTCCATCGACAGAAAAATGGAGAGAGAAAGTGTGGTGTAAGTACACAATGGAGTATTACTTCGTCATAAAGAATGAAATCTTGTCATTGCAGCAGAATGGATAGGAAAAGAGGATGTTATGTTAAATGGAATAACCCAGACCCAGAAAGACAGATGCTACATGTTCTCTTGCATATGTGGAAACTAAGAAAAGTCACCCTGAAAGTAGAATAGGGACTGGGAAGGCACTGGGTATGGTGTGTGGAAGAAGGGTGCTTGGATATGAGCAATGCACGTGATATGCTATATGAGACCATCACACCGAATCCCTGTAATATGTACAATTAAGATGCACTAATAAAAACCAAAAGTGAACAAGGTAAAAAATGTAGAATGGAAGTAGGGGTGGGTGAGAAGCACAGTGGCAGCTGATCTCAGACCTCATTTTCAGAAGCCCAAGAATACTAGTAGTTATCGGGAAGAGCACGGCTTTGTCCTCATTTGCCAGCATCTGAGCCCTGCGGTGAGAGACACTCAGGTCTGGCTGAGAAGGTGACATGTGGGGAAGTATCCTTCAGCTGCCTGTTTCTGAGAGTGGCAGTGACCGTCCTCCTGGCAAGGGTCCCGTGGCACTGTGCCTGTGAGGTCCCAGCATGGCTGTGGTCACGCAGACACAGGAGCCGAGGGAGGATGAGACAAGACCCAGGCAGTGCTACTCCCAGCGCGCAGGGCCTACCTGAAGGCCTGGCCTCTATGACAAAGCCGGTGGTGGGCGTGCTGCCAGCGCTGCCCTCTGTCCACTGCAGGGTCAGGTCCGAGGTGGATTTGGTGACCGAGACACCTCTAGGGGAACCTGGGGACCCTGCAGGACAAAGAGAGAAGAGTATAGCCATTGGTCTTGCGGAGACTGGTCACCCCTCAGTAGCGGGCCAGACCTTCTCAATTCCTAGGCCTCCAGGCAGGTTGTGGACCCTCATTCTACCACGGATTCATCCTAAAAATGGGAAGTGAGCTGGGTGTGGTGGAGCACACCTATGGTCCAAGCTTGTCTGGAAGGCTGAGAAAGGAGGGACTCAAAATTGAGCAATTAGCAAGAACTTGTCTGAAAATAAAACACCGTAAATAAAATAAAAAGGGCTAGGGATCGAGCTCAGTGTGAAAACTTGGGCTTCAATCCCTAGTAGTAAACAAAACAAAACAAAACAAACCCAGGAAGCAATCAGAGGTCAGAAAGATGGCATAGGCAGAGCACCTAGCACCTGCTGTACTCCCTGAATACTGTCCTGCTGCCAAGGCCTCATCAGCGTCTACACAGGCCACGAGCTTGTGAAGTGGGGAGTTACATAGTCCTTCCTTGTGACATGTGAAAAGTTTTAAATTTTATTTCAAAAATTGAATTCATTTTAGTTCACAAACTTAATTCATTCCACGATTCTGGAAAAGATGTCCACGTTCACGTTTGTGAGGGAAAGATGGATGCAGTTGTGTTCCTCACCCGATGCAGAGTTTGCATACAAAACAAGATTTGTGCCAAACACTTCTGTCTGTGAACCAAATTGCTCGGAAACAAAAGCGTTCGGGGAGTGAGGTACCACTGCACCTTCTCTTGCTTATTTTCTCATTAAACAAATACCAATTTCCATGCCTAACACATAAGAAGTCACTCGCTTGCTCAGGAGGAGTACACCTGCAGCACTGTCCTGTGCTGTTGCAGACTTCCACGTTGCCCAAATTCCCGCCCTTCTGCAGCTCTGCCTGCCAGAGGGCTAGGCTGAGGATCTAGACAAGCTCCTGGAGGCGGGCTGAAGGTATGACCAATGCTCACCTGTCGCCCAGGTTCCACTCACCCTCGGCCGGCCCGGCCGTGACATTGGCTTGGAGCTCGGGCCCATAGGCAATGGTCCGTGCTTGGACACGGAAGAAGTAGGTCACTCCCTTGGTGAGGTCACGCACCTTCAGCCAGCGCTGCCAATTCCCTTTCACATCCACCGTCACCACCTTGCTCACACCTGGACCAGCAAAAAACAAAGAGGAGAAGGTGCCAGGCCCCGGGAACCAAGCCCTCACTGTCTGATCTGTGGTGATAACCAGGAGAATGGCCTGCAGTTGGCTGAGGAAGTAGTTCTTCCAATTAGGAGGAGTTTAAGTGGCGATCAGGGGCAGTTTTCAGCACAGATAAGTGTCATTAGAATTGATGCTTAATAAGCAGTGCCAGTGAAGAAAAGACCCAAGCCCACAATGCCTGGGGGAGATGGCCTAACTCACTGGCACTGCAGGAAGGAGGGAGGACACTCATCCAACACGTGGGCGACATGGCTAGGGGTGTAGTCCTGCCTGTCTCAGTACAGACTCCCCTAATGGCACTGTGGAGAGGGTCTCCTTCCCACACAGCCCTGAGCTATACCAAATCCTGACTGTGATCCCCATGGCTGAGTCACAAGGGAGAGGAGAGCACAGAAGACATGCAAAAAAAGTACTCGAGAAGGTCAAAGGTGGGCTCCTCCTTGAGAGGTCTGTGACCTGACTAGGGTGGCCAACTTGTGGCCTGTAGGCTCAGAAACTTGCGAGAATGTCATCTGTGGACCTTGAAGCTAAGATAGAGAAAAATTCATCACTGCAAGTATTGACACCTCTATTCAAGAACGATGACAACACAGAGGCAAGGTTTACACACACACTATGTATCTAAACTACTGAGCAATGCCAAAAGATTGCTGACTGAATTAAGCACAGGAGCACCCCTCCCATCCATGGGGAACACATTCCAAAGCCCCCAGTGTCTACCTGAAACCATGGGTTGTACCAGGCCCTAGATACACTAGGTTTCCCCTGGGTGTCCTGCAGTGTTACCATTTAGTACCAGAGTCAAGTTATCCTTCTGCGTTTGATGCCCTGGTTTCCCTTTGCACCAATGCCCGTGTACTTGGGGCTCTTAAAAAGTAAATCAGGGTTTCCTAAACAGCCTCTTGGATGCTGTGATGGCTACTAGGTGACTAACAGGTGGGTGGCATATAGATCATGGATACACTTGACAAAGCCATGATTCACATCCAGGCCAGGATGGGGTGGGATAGAGGGAGATCTCATCATACCACTCAGAATGGTACATGGTTTATAACTTGTGAATTGTTTACTTCTTGAATTTTCACTCTAATGTTTCCAGACCACAACTGACTTCAAGCAATGGGAACTGCAGAAAGCAAAAACATGGGTAAGAAAGATTATTATGTAATTAGAATATTGAGATTTACTATGTGTGTGTGTGGGAGAAGGATAAACACTAAAAATTATACAAAGTGGTATTTTCCAGAAGGGAAAATGGGGATCTTCGGTTAAATAAGTTTAAAGATGATGCATTTTTTAAAATGTTAAGTAAGTGCTTAACTTATTCAGAGTTCTCACTGGGCTAATCCCTGTCAGGCCTCTCCTGGAGGAGGGCAGAGGATATGGCATTTCAGCAGAATTGCATTCCGTGCATGCTGGGTGGCATCTCTTGCCCTGGGTTTGGCTGCCCAGTCAGTACCCAGACACAGCACCCTGGGGTGGGCTGCCCTGGTGCAGGAGGACGCGTGGTGCTATTCTGCTCATTCATTCATTCATTCATTGAGCCATACTGGGGTTTGAACCCAGGGCCTTTACAGTAAGCTACACCTCCTTATTTGGTGCCTTTTTTTTGGTACCGGGGATCGAACTCAGGTCCTTGCGCTTGCTCAGCAGGCAGCGAAACCACTGAGCTAAATCCCCGGCCCCATATGATGCCTCTTATAAAATTTTTTTCAGTTAAATTATTTTCTTCCAAATTATTTCAGAGTGATTTTGGCTGACTTTGATTGACCCTCTATATTTGGGTTTTTCTGTACAAAAATGGGGACTTTGCTGCTCAGAGAGCCTGACCCATCCTTATACACAATGCTCAGGAAAGAAGTCACGAGGGTGACCAGGAACACATGACTGTCATCCGCAGAGGAACTGGGTCCTGTCAGACGCAACATTATTCTGGTAGCAACTTCTTTTTCTGATGTAAAAAAAATGCCTTTGTTCTCCTCAGAGCAAAAACAAACCCTTGTACAGATTTTGTAAATTTGATCCCACTAGGAGGTAGAACTAGTATGGCTTTCCCTCCACCTCAAGTATGTCTGAATTTTATTTATTTAGTCAATTTTTAAACCATGCCTTGCACTACAAAGCCTCAGGGTGCAATCCCATAAAATACTTCTGTTTAAAACATCTTTAAAAACATAAAAATAGCTCTGCCATCAAACCAGATTCCAAAGAACAGGCTGGTAGAGTGCTGCAGGCAGCTCGATGCTCTGGGTGGCCTAGTGGTCCCATGCTTTGGTAGTCTGGGTGGTCCAGTGCGTGATGGTCCAGTGGTGTGGTGCTCTGGTGGCATGGGTGATCTCCACAGTGGCCAGGGATTGGCCAGCAATGGCTGTGGGCTCATCTCAGCGGACAGGATGTGCCAGGACTGTCCTTCTGGTGGGGTGACAGCACTGGGTGAAGGTAGTGCTCTCTGCTTCCCTGGCCTGGCTGGTCAGTGCCACATACTGGGGTTTTGCAGATGTCTGTGCCAGGAAGACAGGTCTGAGCACCCACCAACCAACACTAACAGGCAAAGTCACTGTTGGACAACCTTCTCCCCCTTTAAAAACCTATCTGTAGCACATTTTAAAGATTTTTGTCTGCAAAGTACACTTTAGGCAGATAGCAGTTCACCTTCACACATATATCTTCACATACATGTCTCTCCTATCTTTGCCAGTCTTCCAAGAGAACCACTGTTACTGCTGAGTGAATACAGCTCTACTCCAAACAAAGATGATGGATATTTCCATTATGTTTGCAAACATGTCTCTGGGAAACATGCAGCATCTAGGAGACACTTTAAAATACCGAAAATCATATGGTGATCTGGTTATCACTTCATTAGTTCCCTGTTGGAAATCCAGAATCCAACAGTTGGGGGGCAGTCTTTGGGAGCCCCACTCAAAGGTGTATCTGTCCTGTGGGCACTGGTGCCCCAGCACTGTGACCAGCTCAGCTCATATGCCTTGGGTCAGCAGCGGCAGATGTGCAGGAATCTGGAAGGAGGGAACATGCCCAGGCCTGCACCAGGTCAGAACCTGGCGTGGTTTGTTCTTCGTGGCCTGCCCCTGCTGAGACTCAGGCCTGACCTGGACTGTAGGGTGAGTACAAGCCCCAAGCCCAAGAGCTTTCCCTCCTCCCCTCCAGTTTCCCAGCACAGAGCCAGTAGCAGCAACAGTCCAGAAGTTGAAGCCAGCACTCTGAGACAGACAGGGACAATACCAGTGACAGACGGTCTTATGACTTTGAAAGGAGGTGAAAATGGTCGCAAGTGAAGTGACTCCACCTGTTGTCACTTGGGCGGGCTTCAAGCCCACACTGCTGTGTGGTCCAAGTTTGCCTGCAGTATGGAGATTCGCTATGACAGATCGTCCTGGCGCTCCGTCTCTGATGCTCAGTTCCACATTCGCTTCCAAAAGCAGCGCTGCAGACATTCCCTCCACATAAGCAATTGGAACTGGCTTTGGAACAGGGCCACCCATGTGGTGCTTAGTGGTGCAAGCTGTCAGGTCCCTGAGGCTCTGCAGCCCATTACTATAGGACAAGGCATCCTGGTGAGGTGCTTATTTGAGGAAGAATGAGAAAATTCAAGCTGTCTTTGACTGGGAAGGACTCAGAGGACTCAGTCCTGGAATCCTGGTCTTCGGCAATCCTTTCTCATTTTAATGGCTCTCTTTGGTTACTATCCTTGGAAAGGCAATTGTAACGTGGGCTCCTGAAACATGAACTTGTGTGTGCATGTGGTGTGTGTGTGTGTGCACGTATGCCCACGTGTGTGTCAGGCAAGAGGAGGGAATGCTGGCAGGCAAGATGTTCTGTGAAATGCACGGAACAATGGGTGGGTCCCTTTCTGTACATCTGCCCCTGGGACCTCAAAGAAGCCATGTCAAGTTGCGCAGTTCCCAGACATAGGACACAGCAGAGCAGGGGCCAAGAGAACTCCATATCCCTCCCGTGCTTGCTCTGCACTTGAGATCACCATGTCCACAGATTGCCCACTGTTACTCACTGAAGCGTATCGGTCGACTCAGGTACACTTTGTTTTCTTTCTCAATGTTCACATCTCTGATTTGGGATGCAGCTCAGAACTGACAATACGGAAATACTGGGCCATAGTTTATTGGAAGCATTTTTTTTTCTTAGCATGTCATAAAATGACGATGAATCTTATAGTCAATGGCATTTTAGATTTGGTGAAATAAAATCCAGCGCTTAAATGTCCTCCTTCAAATCACCTCCCTGTTTTATCTGAATGTGCTTATTTTAAAAGGAAACTTTTATCACCGCTTTAAATGAAGAGCCAATATTATTTGATGTTCTGGTTATATTTTTCCTCCTAGACATTAAATAATCTATAATTTTTACAGTCTGTCTGTGTACATTACGGGGGGAACCTGCCCTGTGGCACAGGGCAGAGACAGCTGGTCTCTAGGTGTACAATGAGGAGAGAATGCCACAGGGCCCTTGGTGGGGACATCAGTGATCTGGCAGACAGACAGATGGCCACAGAAGGAATTAAAATGATACAGAGACAAGAGACACTCTGACCCCACAGGTACCCCGCCTGCAGTCCCTGGGCGGATCCCAGCGCCTCCGCCAGCAGAACGCTCCCTCACTGCCACTTCTGCCTTCCTCACCCTCTGCCCCCTGCCCAGCCCCCTACCCCCATCCCCAGCTGCTCTCCGCAATCCCAAATTCCTCCATCCCTGCAACCCATTCTCCCAGCAGCCAATTGCATTTCATCTTTGGCTTGCATCTATTATTTATTCTCAAGGCTTTGCTGTGATTTACCTCAGCCTACTTTGTGTCTTAACTCTCCCTCCTCACTCTATGGCGGGTCTGTTTCTGATTGATGGAGGAAGTTCTAGGGTGATCGATAATCCTCTTTGCATCATGTGGCATTCAGGGGGTGGTATTTAGCCAGGAGGACCCTGCCCTTGTAAAAGCTGGTCCTGTACTCCACTTTCCTTCCCTAGGAAACTCCAGACCATCTTGAAAAGCTCTGGCCAATGGCATGGTCTCCACAGCGGGACACCAAGCCCTACCCTCTTAGGAGCGTGCACACTGAGACCTCTGCAGAAGGTTTTCCCTCGGGTGTTTGCTCGGTGAGTCCTCTCTCACCCTGAGCCCCTTCCCAGGCATGCACACTCCCATTATCCTCAAAGCATCCATCACTACCAGATTTTTGCTTATTGGTTTAGTTATCTGTGTGTTGCCTCTCTCTTCCTGGAATAGAAACTATTTTAGGAGAGCAGGATGTCAGCACACAAGTCAATGAGGACCCTTGCTTTCCTGGGTCAGTGGATTCTAGCACTTGAACAGCTCTCGGGATGCAGCAGGTGCTTAATTAATAACTGCTGAGTGAGTGGGGAATGGAAGGAAGTGCACAGCATGAAGGGATGCTGGGCATTTGCACCTCTTCCAAAGTGTAGATGGTATCTGGAAGGTGGGTGGTGGAGTAGAACTGAGGGTGCCTCTGTCAGGGGTGACACAGACTAGAATTAGAATCTCAGTGGGGAGAGGAAGAGACATTTTGGAAATTGGGGACTAGGTCAAGGAAGGTTCATGGTGTGATCCCATGGGGAATGCAACACTCTGGACTTGGCTGTGCAGAGCTGTCTTAGCTCTGCCTCCCCTGCTCCTTCCAGGTTCCTAGCAGTGAGGCTGGTACACCTGCCCCGATCCCTCTGCTCTTACCTTGGACGGGCGCCAAGGGCTCATACACCACTCGGTAGCCCTGCAGGATGCCATTGGCTGCCACTGGCTCCCCCCAGGACACATTCAGTGTGGTGGAGGTGATTTCGGAGAATGCCAGGAAACTGGGGGCCCCAGGAGCTGGAAGAGTGAACACTGAAGTGATTTTCACGAAGGCACCTTTATGGATCACACACACACATCTGTGCCTCCATAAAGAAAAGGAAATGTTATTAGGTGTTATTTTCAACCCAGTAAAAGTCTAAATGCCACAGAATGAAAAGGAGACGCATTGATCACCTCCAAACTTCCTAGGATCAATCAGAAACACAGAGCGGAGAAAATGACAGAATCAAACACAAAGGAGCTGAGAGGCAGACTGGCAAAAGGTCGAAAATGAATAATGGATGGAAACAGAAAATGACATGCAGATGGCAGTGTCCAGAGCCTGCTGGAAGGTTCTAGGGGCCCTGTCCTGCTCTTTTGGAGAGAAGTGGTGCTTGGTGGTGGACAAGGGCTCTCCCCATCCCTCCCTGCTTCCCCTCCTCTTTCCTCTCACAGGGGCCCAGAGGTCTCAGAGGACGCCCCTGTCTGCCCCTCCATCTAAACTCCTCAACACTGCGGGCTCAGATAGCTGTGTGGGGCTAAGAGAGGAGGTGTCTGGCCAAGCAGTTGAAGCTGCTGTGGAAATGAGGGCCAGTGTGTGGCCAGGAGCACGGCACGGAAGCCACTCACATTTGCTCTGCCTGGACTCTGCGGATGGCTGTGTACTGAGGCTGTCCCCTCACCCCACCCACAGCCTGATGGGCACCTGGCCTCTTGCTGCTTGGAAGCACCCACTGGACTGGCACCCACCTTCTCTCCACTCTGCCTTGTCCTTGGGTCCTTTAGTTCATGAACCACCATATTCCAGTGTCCCAAAGTGGCCCAGCCCTGTTCTTTGCTCCACCAATCTACCCACATCCTTCCAACTCGGATTCCCAAGCTGGCCTGGGGCACTGGATGAGGGCAGAAGGAGGCAGCCCTGGCACTCTGGCATAGCCATCTCCTGAACACAATGCCGGCACCCTGGCCAGTGGTTAGTCTCCTGGGTGCGGTATCAGTCCACTGAGCCCACAGAACACCGGTAATCTCTGAGCCCTGCATCTTCATCCATAGTCTCCTGAGCCTGGGTCTTGCAAAGGGCCACCAAGACCCAAAGCCAGGTTGCCATTTGTTGGGGAGACTGAGATGCACTGGAAGGATGGCCTATTGTACACTTGCTGAGCCCTGTATTGGCCTGAGGCTTTCAGCAGCACAGCTCCACAGCATAGCTCCATCTGCTCTCAGATCCTGCCTAGGTGTGTGGCTGTTCTAGGGGTGGTGTGTGGGCCTGGCCTTGGGGCCTGCCTTGATGTGCAAGGAGCTCAGCCCTCAGTGAACTGCACAAATGACGAGACGGCTCTGGATGGCGCCCTGAGCATCAGGAATGAGGCCAGGCTGTAAGCACAGAGCCCTTCCTCCCTCTGCTGGTCTCTCTGGCTCCAGAGAACACATGTCCAGCTCCTACTGTCATTGTCCAGCACTGACCTACACCATGACAGGCCAGGCCTGGGGAAGCACACATCACCCCAGTGCTGCCTCTCTCCTCCAGATCCCTGGCTAGGGGTGTGAAGGGCAGGCAGAGCACAGCACTGTGGAAACCAAGCAAAAGGGCACTTTGCTCTTCCAGGGAGCCCAGGGACCACCAGAGAGGTGACACAAGGTGGAGATCTCAAGGTTGGTCCCACCTAGGCCTGCAGAGAGGAAACCGGCGCCCACCTACCGGCCTGGTGGGTGCGCCCCTGCCGGGGTTCGCTCCTGGGCCCGTCTCCAGCAGCATTGAAGGCAGATATGCTGACCAGGTATTTGGTGTGGCTAGTCAGGTTCTTCAGCTTCACCACGGGCTCCGGGAGGAAGAGGACCTTCATTTTCTCTGTTTTGTTCTGGCTGCCTGCCTCCCAGTAGTAGATCTGTCAGGAAGAGACCAGGCTGAGGGTCCACACGGGGAAGCCCTGAGGCGAGGCTGGGCTGTGTCCCAGGAGCACTTTGGTGGGACCGCCATCTCCTGGGGGCACAGGAGCTTGGAGGCTGGTGCTGCGGGCCGGTGCAGGTCCTTGCTGCTAGCGGTGTCTGGCGATGGGCTGTGCTTCCGAATTGTCACCTGCAGTCGGGGCATCAGTCAGACGCCCAGGGCAGGGCCCGAGGACAGAAGACTCTTCCCTTCAGACACTGGTCCTGTGCCTGTGCTACGGGCGGGGCTCGTTCCGCCGGACACCTCTGTCCTGTCCCTCGGGGAGAACGCTGCCCACGGTCCACTCCGGCTCTGAGCCATGCATGGAATGAGCCCCAAGCTCCCACCCCCATGTTCTCATGTTTTGCTCAAACTCTGTATCTAAATATTCGGTTGATGAGGCAAAAACATTTTAGAAATTAAAGTACTGAAATAACAAGAGACCCACACTGGGCTCAGAACTGGTGGGAAAGCCCATGCCTTTCTTGGGTAGCATTTCCTCCCATATAGCTTTGATGTACTGGCAGGTGTACTGAATGTCCAAATACAAAGGTTTGAACTGGCTGCCAGAACTGCTTCCTAGACAGCTGGTCGGAACCACCACTCTAGCCAGTGCCAGCTGGGCTGCCTAAAGACAATACCAGTCTGTGGATCCACCTTGGGTCACGGGGCTAAGCCCAAGCCAGGCCCCAAGAGTAGCATGCCTTGTGTAAAAGCAACACTGGGCACCAGGGAAGCTGGGGCCAGCGGCCTACCTTGCATGCCCCCAAGTCACACCTGTAAGGAGCAAGCCCTGATAGGTGAATTTGGCTGATTTCCATCTGCAAGACACAGGGGAGCTGACGAGAGAGGATCCCCCACTCACACAGCCCCAGCTAACGTGTGATCAATACCCAAGTTGAACGTCTTCATTGTTAAGGAAATGAGAAAACATACTTTGGACATACATAAATCGCACCTGGCCTCCGGGCTCACAGGACCTTCCAGTACCTCATTAATCACTGTAACAATCCTGCCATGGAGGAAGGCATTAATTTTCATAAAACACCTACAAAAATCATTTTTAAATGGACATTTAATTGGCCCAATAGTCATCAGGGCAGGCGAGCCCAGAGAATCTGGTAACTGATCAACTGGTGCTCCTGGAGGCCAGACAAGGGGATTAATGCTGGGAAGGACGTGGGTTTTTTCTGCAAGAGGCTTTCATGGGTATCCAGGGCTCCTGGATCTTAGCATAGGGAAGCAGCCAGTAGCACCTTGCTGCCAGATAAAGTACTCTGTGTTTTCATTCCTCCCCAACACTTGGTACACTGTGCTGCCTTTCTTTTCCTCCATCTCTACAGCATTTAGCTATTCTAGACCAGCGGTTTTCAAAGTGGGGATCCCAGAATCCATACCAACTGCAAACTTATTAGAAATGCAATTCTCAGGTCCCATCCATCCCAGAGTCCCACTTAGTGAACTGAAAGTCTCACTCTGAGTAATGTCCAGTAGTGATCTGGGCAATGCTGGGGTGGAGAGCATGTTCTTTTGAGGACACTCCATTTCCTGCTGCTATCAGCAAATGGGCTGGGGGCTCTGGATCAGACACAGGAAGAGCCCAGGTTCCTGCTGCAAGGCCTGGTGTCCATAGCAGGGAGAAACCCTCAAGACCTTTGGATGAGCTGAAGCTGCCACCTGGGTTGCTCTGTGATGGGCACAAAGCAGCCCCTGCAAATGCCCCCAGCCCTGTAGTTTGACCCAGGGCCTGGCCTCCAGGCTGTGTGCCTGCTGTCCATCTGCTGTTGAGAAAGTGGCAGGGGACAGTGAGCCAGGCAGTGGCCTGGAGCAGGGTCAGCTTCCCAGCTGAAGCCCTTGGGCCTCCTACTGGGCACACAGTGAGCAGAAGGAAGAGCCGCCCCGCCAGCTTGCCTTGTAGCCCTGGATGTTCCCATTCTGGCTCTCTGGAGGTGGTGGGTCCCATGTAACCTCCAGCTGGCTGGCTGTCAGTGGGGTCACCTGGATGTTCTGCGGAGCCATTGCTGGGGCTGAGGAAAGAAGAGGACACAAGGGTAACTGGGATGTCCCTTCATGAGCCAGCTGGGACCACCATCCACATACACACAGGGGTCACATAAGTCCCAATTCCAGGAAGGGCAGCATGAGAGACTGCCCTGGACACCGCCCAGCTTGGGAAGCCTCAGGCACAACCACATGCCAGCTCTACACTGCATCACTGCAGATCTTAGCTCTTTATACCAGGGAATGCTACAAGCCCTCCTAGAACATTCTTAAATACATAAAGTAAAATATATAGAATTTCAGAGAAAACTGATTCCACTAGATAAGCTGGCAGAATATTGAACGACAAACATGAACACAGGAGGCAGGCTCAGGGGCTGGTCTGATACCTACTGTGGGAGCAAAGCAGCCCTGAGTGTGGCTGACACTTGGACGTCCCGGTGGCACCTGGGGTACAGTGAGGGATACCTGTGGCTCTGTGGCGAGGGTGCCACAGGCACTGCTGTGCCAACACTCGTGATCGGGGAAATGCTGAGTTTTGGGCAGAGGTTATAGAAAATAAAGACATCTCTGCTGCTATCACAGGTTTAGGTGTCCTGGTTATAAAGCCCCATTGTAGGTGGAGCTATGAGGGGACATCACAGAGCTGCGCCCCCTGAGGACTGGGAATTGGGTTTCTGTGAGCATGCCTGGCTCCAAGGTACTTGGACGCCTGGCTCTGGTTGCAAATTCTGAGTGCCAAATTCTCACTTCTTCTCCCTCCCTTCCAGTGGGAAGTGATCCCTTGGTACCATGTCAAGGTCGTAGGAAACTGCATGCAAAAGACAAGACAACTTGGATAAGAATAGCATGGCCACACCTCCCCACAGGGCCATGAGGGAGCTGTGGGTGGTGCAGAGAGCACATGCCGGGTTTTGGAGCATTCCTGTCCTCTCCGTTTTGCCAGCTTCAGGCTATCTCTTACTCTCAGGATGGGCACTTTCTCTTGATGATCTGTTCTCTGCCTCCTGGGAGCCGCTCCCTTCTCCCACCCGGAAACTGGAGCTGGGCTGGACCCTGAGGAGTTGTGTGGGGTTTTTCTTGGGTTCCTGGCTCTAGGAAAGCAGAAACTAGCCGAGTCCTCCCCACTTCCTGCAACCCTGGCCTGCACTCCAGGAGCAGGGGGCTGCTTTTGGATTCAATCTGTTTATAAACACAGGTGACCAGACAGTCACTGTCCAAGGACATGGCCAGCACCCAGACTGAGAGGGCTTCCAGGGAGAGAATGACCTCGTGTGTCACCCCTTCCCCAGTTTCTGCTCCCCTCAATGTAGAATAAAATAGTAATTAACACCCGCTCAGCCTGACACCAACTATTTATTTTGTTCTAACTGTGTGGTTTCCATATTATCACTGCCCACCCTGCCGTTAATGGAAATGTTAATAACCCTCACCAGGTTGCTGTGACAGATGCTCAGGCTCATTATCAGAAATTCTTATTTACCGCTCCATTAAACAACAGAATCACACAAAAAAACAATTCAATCAAAACTAACTGGAGGAATTTTAACAGCCACATTAATAATCCAAAACATAAATAAAGTTAATGTCTTTTGCATGTTTGCCATCGGCAACTCTATTGCAAAATTACTGTTGTACAATTAAAATGTGAAAGGCAAAATTGAGCATGGCCATTACCCCGTCTTCCATTAGGAACCCCTCAGTGCCTCCAAGGGTTCCTTCACACAGACCCAGAGCAGCAACAGCCCTGGACTCAGAAGTCCATCTGCAGGAACTGGTGGAATTCATGTGCTCCAGGCAACCCCTCACCCCAGATCCAGGAGCCCATGTGTCTCTTGGCTGGGGTTGACACACACTGGACAAAGGCCCCGGCACCATTTCAGGCAGCTGAGATGCTTCCATGTCCCCACTAGCTATGCAGCAGTAGGGTGCTTTGTGCCAGAAAGATTCTGCAGGTAACAAAGAAATTTTCTTTTTTTTTTTTTTGTCAATGGCACGTGCAGAGAAGAGAGAAATATATGTAAACACTGAGCAGAGTTTGTCAGTTTCGAGATTTATTTTTTTGGCTCCTTAAAGCTGTTGGACCCCCAGCCTGATAGGAGAACTTGACTTTCAGGAAGACCTTGCTGTTTCCAATGATGAATACAAGCCTCATTCAAGGGACATGTGTGCAGCTGGGGGAGTCAATGGAGTGCTGGCTCAGTCATTATCTTTTTGTTCCCTTATCTTAACATTTGTTTTATAAGAAGAACACAAATAGCAGTCAGCATGTTTCTTTAAAAAGCATGAAATTATTTTTAAAAAGTATTTTAACCAGCAATGTCTGGATTTGCTGAATCACAGATGGTCTACAAACAGCATCAGAGGTGGATGGAAAGGTTATGGTACAAGACTGAGATCAGCTCTGTAAGTTTCATGCAGAGCTGATGATGCTATGACAGAACTATCAGCTTCCAGTCTCAGCAGGGTTGCTCCTGTACCCCCACCAGGGCACTGGAACAGCCTTGGAGAGAGATCTCATTAACTAGTAACACAGAAGGCTCAGGGACTTCCAGAGGCATTCTGTATCTGACAGCAATAGTAGTGTTCCTGAGATTTCTGGAATTTTCTGGAATCCTGTCTGATTGCTTGGGGGAACGCCTACTAAATTGGGTGATGTGGGCTGAGCTAGGATGCAGTCTGGCTGTCCCTGGACCTGCTGTATCTGCCTGGAGGCTGGCAGGAAAGCCCCACAGAGCAGTTAGGGCAGTGGTCTGTCCACCTCACTCAACTCTGGGCTAGCTTGCCACCCTGGTTGACCAGCAGCTTCAAGTGGATCAAGAAACAGGCAATGCAACACAATGGTTGTTCCCAGCTCAGTCTTCATTTTCTGTTTATTCCATGTCCTCTCAGACCTGAATGACCTTGCTGCCACAGGGCCTTGTACCCAGCCTGGGCTCAGGCCTTACCTTGTAGGAACCTCTGCTACAAGAGAACAGCAGATGGCACCAGCACACTCAAACCACAGAAGGAAAAGAGGAATGCTCCACCCATGGTCTTATTCCTGTGGACTCAGTTACTCGTGATCAAACATAGTCCAAAAATATGAAATGAAAGATTCCAGAGAGACCACATTCAGTTAACTTTTATTACAGTATATTGTTATAACTGCTCTATTTTATTATTAGTTGTTGTTAATTGCTTATTGTGTCTAATTTATGAACTAAACTATACCATAGGTATATACAGACAGGAAAAGCTAGCCCATAGAGGCTCAGTATACTGACAGTTTCAGGTCTCCTCTGGCATTTGGGATGGAACCCTGAGGATGAGAGGATCCCTGCAGATGAGGGGACATCTGGGCCTGGCTTTCGGTAGGGAAGCAGAGGCCTGAGAGAGCAAAGGGCGAGTTCAGAGTTGTAGGAATCGACCCTGCAGTGAGAAGGATGCTCATTCATTTAGTCTTTTACTCTCCCATCCAGATATCCACTCCACTGCAAGTTTGAGCCCAGTCTGGGCAGTGTAATAACTTAGTGAGACTCTAACTCAAAATAAAATTATTTGTAAAAAGGGCCAGGGATGTAGTTCAATGTGAAGGTTCTGCTGGTTTCAATCCCCAGTAATGCAAAACAAAGAAAAATCCACTCCCTGTGTTGGGGGAATCATCTGACTTTAGACAGTGGCAGGGCTGTGGGATTTGTAGTGGCCTCTGCTGATTTCATGGACCACATGGCTCTTTGATCAAGGACAGGGTAATAGCAGCCATACGTGGGAAGCAGTGGACAGGGACCACTACCTCAAAGCACCTCCAGAGGCCTATGTGGCTGCAGCCCCCTTTCCCCACACCCTCTAGGCCGGCTGAGCCTTGGTCTGACATAGAGAACAGGAGGCAGAGAGGAGTGGCAAACCCTGAGGGCAGGCCACATGGTAGCGTCATGTGGGTGTCAGGGCCACTGAGGTCTGAGACTTTGTTTCCACAGTGCACATTTGATGGACACTTCCTGAATGTTAACCAGGCCCTGGACTTAGCGCTGGGCTTGGGTGGATACATAGATGTAAAAGACTATTTAACAAGGGAGAAAACTGCAGTAATGATAACACAAGGTAGAGGTGAGCACATATTCACAGGGCCAGGAGAGGCGGCTTCTGGCTGGGGATGCGCATGTTTCTGGAAGACCAAACATCTGGCTGGCTCTTAAATAATGGGGAGGATTTACCATGGGACCACAGGCCAAGGAGTGAGGGCACTTCTGGAGGTGGGAAAGGAAGGAACAGAAGTCCAAAGTGAGAAAGTTGGTGTCTGTTGAGTTCACAGTAGGCAGAAGGTCGTCCTGGTTTAGGGCCACCCTCGAGCACAGTAGGTACCCATTACTGCTAGAGCCACCCTTGGCCATGCAGGGCATCTGCTGCTGCTGAATCATTTTGGTCATGCTGGGCACCTGCTTTTGCTAGATGCATGTCAGACTATGACAGACCATACTAGGTTTCTACTTTCAGTTATTATTTTGGTAGCACAGGTTTTTAACTGATAATTTTAGGATCACTGTTAACGTTTTACTATAATGAAATAAGTGTTTCTTTATAGGATTGAAGAAAATTCTACCCTCATCAGTTCACTTTAATTACATCAATATTTTCCTAGTCAAATACTTTCTTTGACTCCCTGTTGAAGTGCAACAGAATTCTCTAATCTAATCTACCTTCTATGCAAACTTTGCCAACACATCTGCTCCCTGAAGCAGGGATATCTGGAGATATGCTCCAGGTTTGGGTAATTATGTGGTCTCTGGGGCCTTGCCCATGTCTAAAGCAGGTCTAAATGGAACACACTGCTTCAACTCAGGTGGGGACAAGGTGGAACTGGAGACAGAGAGCAGCGCCTTGATACGAGAGAGCCGAGAGTGGGGATTTGGAAGTCTTGGTGAGTGCGCCAGGAAACAAAAGTCCCTGTGTACAGTCAAGAGCACAATCCTGAGAACAAAGTATCTGAATGGCTGCTGACCTGGAAGAGGAAGCTCAATGCCCAGTATCCTTGATGAGCCAAGAG